TTATGGTTACCAAAGTCAGATTCATTTCGTATCAAGGTTAACATTCGAGACCATAGTCACACAACAAAACGATCTATGAGCTCCGATTTGGCACACATATATGACCCTTTGGGTCTTATTGGTCCAATCTTGGTCACCGGTAAAATCTTGTTGCAAGGAGCATGGCAGCTAAAACTCGATTGGGATGATGATCTTCCGTCAGAAATACGTAAACAATGGACATCGTATAGAGAAGATCTGGCCTTGTTGGACAATGCAACAGTTGTGAGGCACGTATTCAGCAGTCAAGGCTACAGCCATGTTGAGCTGCACGCTTTTTGTGACGCCTCAGAAAAGGCTTATGGTGCAGCAGTATACATTAGAACAGTACAAAAGGATAAAACGATAAAACTTAATCTACTATGCTCCAGATCTCGTGTAGCACCCATAAAATCTCAAACAATTCCACGACTAGAACTGTGTGCAGCGTTGCTAGCAGCAGAACTCATGGCAAGAGTTAAACTTGATTTAGGCTATCAAGACAAAGCAACTTACTTTTGGACAGATTCACAAATTGTGCTTTCCTGGATAAACAATCATCCAGGCAAATTACCCGTTTACGTCGCCCACCGAATTGTAAAAATCCTTCGGTTAACAATTCCAGAACAATGGCGTCACGTCCCGTCAAAACAAAATCCGGCAGATATTCTGTCAAGAGGGCTTAAACCGCGGGAATTTTCATCTTGCTACATGTGGTTATATGGTCCACTATTTTTATATCAGCCAAAGCCGCTGTGGCCAGCTCCCTTCAAAAGGGAATTAATTGTTGAAGATAACACGGTGGTGCTTGCTTTATCAACACAACAACCTACTAATGAGCATGCATGGGTCTACTCGATTTGTTCAAGAAATTTATTTACACATGTCCAAAAGGTTGTTGGATATGTACTTCGTTTCACAAAAAACGCACGGAAACCAAAAGAATCAAGACCAGAGACCATGCAGCTTTCACCGATGGAGCTCGACGTAGCACTTAAGATAATAATACGTCAAATCCAGGCCTCCGATTTTTCTGATCTAAGGAAAATGCTAGTTAAGGACGAATTTGTGCCAAAAACTCATAACCTCAGTTCACTAACTCCGTTCGTAGATGAAGAAGGGGTAATACGTGTTGGCGGACGGCTAAGCTCTTCAACACTGCAATTTGATGCCATTCATCAAATGATTTTACCAAGCAACGATCCACTAGTAAAGTTGTTGGTAGAAAAAATACATAAGGACAATTATCATTGTGGCGCCCAAGCATTGCTGGCACAAGTGAGGCAGCGTTTTTGGCCCCTCAGAGGAAAAAGCTTGATGAGAGCTGTAATACAACAATGTTTAAGATGCAGAAGAGCAAGGCCAATTGTGTACAATCAAATCATGGGAAATTTGCCTGGACACCGTGTGCAACCAGCTCGACCATTTCTCAGCACTGGAGTTGATTATTGTGGCCCAATATGGGTTCATTACAAAACAAGAGGCAAGCGTCCACAAAAGGCGTATATCGCTGTCTTTTGCTGTTTTGCAACCAAGGCCGTACACTTAGAACTTGTGACTGATCTGACCACAGATGCATTCATTGGAGCATTAAAACGCTTCATAGCAAGACGAGGACGCTGTAAAACGTTATACTGCGACAATGCGACCAATTTCGTTGGAGCGAAAAACAAGTTGCAGGAACTTACTGACGTCATCTACGCTGATCGAGCGAAGGAATCAATTGCAGGAATGTGCAGTACGAAAGGCATAGAATTTCACTTCATTCCACCAAGGTCACCACACTTCGGCGGGCTATGGGAGGCAGCAGTAAAATCTGCCAAATATTTGCTGGTCAAAAATGTTTCAACAGCATCACTTACATATGAAGAGCTTGAAACTGTCGTTATTGAAGTTGAAGCAGTGTTGAACTCGCGACCCCTTATTCCTAGCTCATCAGATGCAAACGATTTGAACGCAATAACTCCAGGTCATTTTTTAATAGGTGAAGAAATCACTTCAAGCGTTGATGTGCATGCACGTGACTCTAAAGAAAAATTACTTAAACGCTGGCAACTGGTATCAGAGCTAAAACACAGTTTTTGGCAGCGCTGGACTAAGGAGTATCTAAGCGAATTGCAACAGCGCCACAAGTGGAAGGGTCCCATCACCAACATACAGACCAATACGATGGTAATCCTTAAAGAAGACAATGTCCCAGTTCTGCAATGGCCTTTGGGACGCATCATCAAAGTTTACAAAGGCGAAGATGGTTTAGTGAGAGTTTGTGATATTCAAACAAAAAAGGGAGTATTTAAAAGACCGGTGCATAGATTAGCTCCATTATTTCCTGAAGACGATAAATTAGAAGATCCAACCTTTGGAAAAATGACTGAAAGAAAAATCGAATCAGAACAGACTCAAGAAACTCCAACGTCACCTCCCGTGTCGCTTATCGTAAAAATTCCATTAAATCGCATCAGAAAGCCTGAATCATTAGTCAATGGGTTAACCCCGACAAAACGATCATGTCTGAATTCCGGGTTGCTGCTCACCATTATTACTCTACTCATTTTGCCACTTGCACTATGTACATTAAGACCGAAAAGTTTTCGGAAATTCTCATTTAAAATTCGCGCGCTGTATATTTTTCGATATTTTA